ACAAATCAAAGGTTAGGGTAAAGTGCGCAAAAATCTGAAAGGTTTGGGACCTTTGCTGCAATTATCCCTGAAATATATTGGCCAAGTGAGTATTACACTTTTCCAGTGAAAGAAATAATTGAAATGTCAAATTGATCCTTCTAATTGTTAAAAATAAATATTTATTTAAATTAGAAAAAGAAAGCCGGTCTCTTTTCCTGTGATTGGCATTCATTTGGTGGATATTATCATTTATCCAAAATTTAAAACTTCTGTGCTTATTTATAAAAACATAAAACGCATTTCTTATATTAATGGCAAAACAAATTTTAATCCCATTACCAATTCCTACTTTCTCACTTTTCTCCCTCTCCCCTTTCCTCCGTCAAATCCGCCGGAAAATACCTGCACCGACTACCGCCTCCCGTCCTAGAGCTAGAAAGAAATCGCCAAAGGATTCCGGCATGTCTGTCGCGATCTCCATTCCTTCCACCGCTCTTCGACGCGACTACAGTTCTGAACCGTTATTGGATTCCAGATTTCGTAAGTAGTGTGTATTAGTATATTGACATAGATGCTGTTAATTTGGAGTTGATTGTTTGGTAAATGGGTGTGATTGAAGATCGAATTTTGATGGTGATTGGTGTGACAACCGGTAGAACTAACCCTTAACACGGGAAGGTGCCCAACTCTTCATAAACCTACAAACTGAGCCTCAGCTTTGCGATGCGGGATATAATTTGGGTCATTACAATTTGTTGATAAGTAATGTAGAAAAATATACTGTATGTTCTTATATGTTTTTATGTGGGTCTAAATGGGATTTTGATGTGTGTGCCTGACCTTAGGAAAACTTTTGATCTTTTTAGCATAATGCACTTGAATCTGACTGATGATGGTGGTAAGACATAACCAATTACGTGGAAAATTGGATTATCAGAAACTAATTTAACAATGAACTGAAGTTGACATGAATTTCGACAGTGAGAAGGTAAGGGAAGTAAGGCTGAGGATGGTAACTTCATTATGATGAAGTAGACATTGTTGGATAAAGATCCCTTTAGGATTTCTAACAGTTAAACTGGAAGGTGCACTGATGCGCTTTCTTTTTAAAGACTTGCAAGAATTGAAGAAAACAAATGTCAAAACATGTATAATAGTTCCAAGGAGGTGAATGAAGATGATTTTCTAAATACAATTGTATAAGATAGAAATCATATTTAGTAATTTTATACCAATAGGTTCTACTAGTATGTAAAGGATTTTCAATTTCTGGGGGTTTTAATTTGGATGCAGTCTAAGTAATTACACTGAATTGAACCAGCAAATGAAAATTGTACGAGATAAGCATGATGGAATTAATGCTTTTTCATGGTTATACAAATAGTTGTCTCCTAGACTTCATTATCTTCAAGTTGTTAATAATATTATTGAATTTCTTTTTGTGAGTTTATTTTGAAGAGTTTTTAAGAAATTCTCTTTAAAAGCTTTCTTTGAAGTGATGCTAAAAGAAGTCCATTATTGGCTGTGCATATATGTTTAAACATGGAATTTAATGTTGCAAAGGATTAGCAGAATACTTGTACCCTTCCTGAGTCCCATCTCTAGGAGTGATCTCTCTTTCTCTCATTCCTGTTGTTGATCATGCTGAAGGGAAAGGGGAAGTCCTGACAAGCAATGTAGATGATGAGACTGACTCATCCAGGAAAACTACTGCACGCAAAAATAGATATTCTATTAGCTCCATCAGTTGCTTTGGGGTGGAGTTGACCCCAGATAGCATTGCGGTTGCTATGGTTTATTTCGTCCAAGGTGTCTTGGGCCTCTCAAGGCTTGCAGTCAATTTTTACTTGAAAGATGACCTGCATCTAGACCCTGCAGAGGTAATCATTTTGGTTAAAAATCAAATTCATACGATGATTAGATTGCTTTTTTCTCCAAAATGTGCATGTGCACTCCCACACAAAAATTACATGTAAATGTGGAAACAAAACTTTAAAACTAGATACAGTTGAATCCTATATTTTGATTAAGTGTATTTCTTAGTACTAGTGGGATCTAGTAGATATTCCTTTGCATATATGCATGTTTCTTTTGTAGTTTGATTTCATTCTCATTCCTTTTTACTTCACTAGATTAAAATATCCACTTAATCACATGACATCAAGACTAAGGCTGTGGAATCAACAGAGTGGTTCAATTCCCTACAAATAAAGGCCCTAAGGGCTCTTTGCTAAAATGAGTGTAGTTCAGGATTGGCCCAGGACGTGTGATTCAAATTCTCACCATATGGTTCACAAAACTTTTTCTTGTAAACCATATCAACTCTTGATTTGTTGTACAGTTATGTTGGGTAGTTGATTATGAGTCGTCCATACACTACTTCATGAAAGTATTATAATTCAAAGATTTATAACTAGAGAAAATTATTCGTAATGGCTCTGTGTGATAAAGTTCTTTCATCCCGTTGAAGATAAGTTTTTTTGTTAAGACATTGAACCTTCTCCTTTGATCAAGACTCCAGTAATTTCCTAATTAATACATCAAGTGCTGATATGTTTTACATGGTTGACTAGACAGCTATCATATCTGGCGTCTCATCATTACCCTGGCTTGTTAAGCCCCTGTATGGGTTCATCAGGTGGGGATCAGCTTGCACTCCATAATTATCTTTCCCATCCATTTTTTTCAGTTAATTCTTTAATGATATTTTTTATATTTTTAGTGATTCCTTCCCGCTTTTTGGCTACCGAAGACGGTCATACTTGGTTCTGTCAGGACTTCTGGGAGCTCTCTCATGGACTTTGATGGCTACCTTTGTTGACAGCAAATATGGCGTTGCTTTCTGCATACTTCTTGGTTCTCTTTCTGTAGCCTTTTCTGATGTAGTAAGTTACTGCTCCTTTAATTTGTCGAGAAAGGAGCAGAGACTCACCCTTGTTGTTCATATGACTTGTCCAATCTTAGTTAGCAATGTTGAGTTATATCATCAAGTCTCTCTAAGTCAAGTAGTTTAAGTTGGAGATAATGAAGTGGGAAGGTTTACTTGATAGAGAAGGAACATGTCTGCCATATAATCGAAAAAATGAGATGCTTTGGACATGAATTGAATACTAAACGTCGTTATGTTGGGAGTATGATGTTAAGGATGGACTAATAGGATATGCATGAACTTCGAGGAAGGTTTATAGCCACATGATTGATATATAGATATAAAGTTTATCGTTCACTTCTCCAGGTTTTGCTCCTTTGGATCCCCCATAGGATGATGTGTGTGTGCGCACACATGCCAGAGTATCTCTTATACCTCATCACATCCTAAACACATTCCAATCTCATGTTCGCAGCCTTTAAACTAGTTTTGGAATCTAAAGACACGGAGGCTTGTGCAGAATTCATACATTTCTACTGCTATAGAAAATATCGAATCAGTTAGAGGTCCAAACTGTTAAAAATTCTTCAATAAATGTACATATTCTATTGTTGTTAGAAAATCACAAGTGCATAGTTAGTTGTATACAATGTTCTCTCATAGTATATGTAGATATGAAGTTCATCGTTCACTTTTCCAGGTTTTGCCCCTCTGGATCCCTTTTAGGATGATGATGTGTGTGTATGCCAGAGTATTTCTTTTATCTCATCACGTCCTAAACACATTCCAATCTTATGTTCGTGGCCTTTAAACTAATTTTTGAATCTAAATAATGGAGGCTTGTGCAGAATTCATGAATCTCTACTGCTATAGAACATCGAATCAGTTAGACGTCTAAACTTCTAAAAAGTCTTCAATAAATTTACATAATTTATTCCTATTTTATTGTTGTTAGAAAATCACAATTGTAATGTTATGTCATAGTATATGTTGTTGGCTTCCCACGACCCAAGCAGACGTCTACCAGGGTCACATGTTATCACTTACCCTTGGATCAGAAAATCCCTCTCCAATATTATTCGCTTACAGAGTTAATTTATGGCATCTGTGAAGTCCATTGCTTGGGCTGCCTTATTCATGCTTGGACACACATTTATCTTTACTATTTATAAACATGAGAGGGCCTTTCACGTCAATAAAGGGGAAATATCATTTTTGAAACCTTCACCGTTAAAATTAATAACTGCTATCCCACTTCTCTTCATTTTAAATTTCTAAGATTTTGCTTTAACATGCTAATTTCAGAAAAGTAATATGCAATGGTCCATTTTTATATGGATAACTATTTTGCTTTCGGACTTGCTATTTTAAAAGAACGGTTTAACTCTGACACTTTTAGGGTACCCTGTATCTAGTAAAACCTCTTATATTCTCAATTTGGGTCCATATGTTAGCATCATTTGTACTTAAGCCATCAGTGCAGCTTTTCATGATTGATCTTTCTTCCAATATATAAACAATATGCATTAATTGATATTACCAAAGAAGAATCGAGCTTCAAAGCCAATTTTTGTGTGAGGTGTTAGCTGATCTTCAGTTGTTATTTCATTTTCCCCAAAATGTTTTATTGGCTAGCCTTTTGAGATGAAAGTATGCTGCAGGTTGTAGACTCCATGGTTGTAGAGAGGGCTCGGGGTGAGTCACAAAGCATGTCAGGCTCTCTCCAGTCTTTATGTTGGGGTTCGTCAGCTTTTGGGGGCATTGTGAGTTCCTACTTTAGTGGTTCCTTTGTAGGTGCATATGGTGTGAGGTATGCCATGACAATATTTCATTTTTAATGTGTTTGTTACTAAGACAAATTACTGATGAACTTTTGAACACATACAGATTTGTCTTTGGATTGACAGCATTGCTTCCATTGATGACATCTGCAGTTGCTGTACTCGTGAAAGAGCAGCCTGTGTGTGGCCCCGGAATGGGGCTGAATTTAATGAGCAGTTCTGACTTTGTTGAAAGCGCGAAACATAGCATTACACAATTGTGGGATGCAGTTAAGCAACCCAATGTATTTCTTCCCACCCTATTCATTTTTCTGTGGCAGGCGACACCGCAGTCTGATTCCGCCATGTTTTATTTCACGTATGTGATTTGAGATGATTGGATATTTTGTTCATAATAATAGTTGCATTATTGTGTTATTTATGAATATTGGATAACAAAGAACATTCTGCTTGCAGTACAAATAAGCTTGGTTTTACTCCAGAGTTTCTGGGACGTGTTAAATTCGTCACTTCAGTTGCATCACTTCTTGGCGTTGGACTTTATAATGGATTTTTGAAAAAGGTTCCCTTGCAGAGTATTTTTCTTGTGACTACTTGTATTGGTTCAGCTCTCGGGATGACTCAAGTATGTGTCTTCTCCTGTTTCTGTATTCATTTCTTTATTACATATCTGAAATGGACCTTCTTTTTCTTTTGAGAATGCATAGGTTTTGCTTGTTACTGGATTAAACCGGCAGTTGGGTATAAGTGATGAGTGGTTTGCCATTGGTGACTCATTGATAATAACGGTTCTTGGTCAGGTATTCTTCGTCGGTGATATTCAATATATAGCTTATGCTTATCCCAACTTCAGATTCACGATCAGTAACAAGTACATTTTCAGGCTTCCTTTATGCCTGTTCTTGTGTTAGCAGCAAAAATATGTCCACAAGGGATGGAAGCAACTCTCTTTGCAACCCTTATGTCCATATCGAATGGCGGGAGTGTCCTTGGTGGCTTGATTGGAGCCGGGCTAACCCAGGTTTTTGGTGTTACTAAGGATAATTTTAACAACTTGGTTTTCCTGATTGTTCTTTGCAATCTGAGCTCATTGTTACCTTTGCCGCTACTTGGCCTCCTTCCTCGAGATAATTCTGATGATACTAAAGAAAGTGATGGCGTTGAAATGAAATCTAATTGAAATCATTTGGAGCTCTTACTGCAGGTGCGTTTTCATGTAGTTGGGAGGAATAAAGTGTGAAATTCTTGTAAATATCCAGATGATGATTAGAATGATGAAGTTATTTTGTTTAGTTCAAACTCGAAGGATGATTTTTGGTTGTTTTTCTCAAGGCTCGTAGAGAATCGTATTGGAGCAAATATTGTTCGAAATTTACGTGAAACTCTCCCCTTTGGATATGTATACTTTCATTTGTTTTAATATTCCGACTACTATACATAAATGCTTCGTTTCATAAAAGTAGTGAGAAGAATCTGTACAACACGTTAGAAATTAAAATTAGCTCGACTTCTTGTAGTTCTGTACTAGATTTTGCTATAGGTGCCATTATTAGCAAAAAATGATTGGTCAATTTATTTGTACTTGTACACCTAGTGTTTACACTTTTGTTGAATAACATTTATTCAAATCAATGGTCAAATTGCATGTCACCTCATCATCTGTCAAATTTTCTGTCAACAAAGGTGTACATGTAGCAAGGTTGTCATTTGTGATTCTTATAGCATCTCCGAAGACTTTTAAATACAAAGCTATATTTCAAAGAGTAAATATTTAAAAATAAGTTTTACTTTAAGATGATCGTTGGCGAACTTAGTCTTGTTTGGTCCTCATTTTTAAAAGAGTAAAGCTATTTAGAACTATTAGTGTTAAAACATGAGTTTAGGTGGCACTAATGTGATATTAAATGAGGTATAGTTAAATTACTAACTTAATTGTACTTCTCGGTCAGCTTATCATATCATGCCAGCTAGATTGATGTTGTAGTACAACTGTTTTTGATAATATATATATTTTTTAAAATTCATTTTTAATCACATATTTTATGAAATTCTTTATTAACTTTTAAACGACACGTTTGTTAATTTTTATTAAAAAATTTAAAAGGACTTTGCAAAAAAATGTTCATTTTCACATTCTGGTGCATAAATATGCCAAATTTTGTACCATATCCATTTTGCTATTATTTAAACAAAAATACCCTTAGTAACAGTTTCAAATTCCACCAAAAGACACAAGTTTTCATATGATCTAAACATTGCGTTGACAAATAGAATGTTGACATATAATCTACAAACTTGAAACCTACCTATACTAGATACTTGAAAAACACCATAACAAACAAATTATGCTTAATTTGTGACGTTAATGTGACAATAAATGATAAGTACAATTAAATGAGTAATTTAATTCCACATTTCATTTAACATATAATCTAATATCACATAAATTGAGGTTACAACCCTAATGAAACTAAATAGCAATAATCATGACTAGAAACCCTCTTTGCCCTAGCCTAACCCAAAATCGTCCGTGTACGCCACCCATTGCCAAGCCAGTCACCACTCAACCCAAAACTCGTCTCCGTCTTCGTCTCAATCTCTTTCTCTCGCCTCTTAACTAAAGCACTCTTTCACGGCGCGCCACCCACCACCACTCACCGCCACATCAGTTCATTTTTACATCACAATTGAATTAATTTTTTTCTTTATTTGTGCGTGTCCTTGATTAGTTTAGTTTTCGATTCTTGCATGAGTATATGTGCAAATTCCTTTATTAGTTCGATTCTTTCTATGTTTGAGAACAGTAATTTTTATTCTTGTGTCAAGAAATGAACTCTTCATTCAGAATAAGGGTTTTAATCTTTGCCCGTTGGTTTAATTTTTGGTTCAGCTCCCTTCCCTTGCACAATTTTTACTTTTGAGGACTTCTTGTACAAGCTAGCAAGATGATTATTTATCCTCTTTTTGAAGACATTATTTTCTGTCAAAACCTAGATATTTTCTTTGCTGCTTGGGAGTTGTATTGGTCAATGACTGCTCTAAATTTTTTTATTTAAAGTTTTGAAGAATTGTCCAACTGCTGTCATATATATTTTTGCAGTTCCTTGACAAGTCAGCCATCACGAAGAAAGTGGGTAGTTATAGAGTAGTTTCCAAGCAGTTTTTGAAGAGGAAATCAGTAAAGGAGTATAAAAAGGAAAAGAAGACATAGAAGAAATGACTCAGAATCAAACACTCTCAGCAGAGAATATGTAATTTCATTTCTTAGTTAACTTTAAAATATTTCTTCTTAGTATTCGTGTACTTGTGCCTCTTGTAGGTATATTCTGTTTTCTTTCTAATTGTAATTTTCATCAATAAAACACCCATTTTTGGGACTTTGTCTCAAGAGGTCTGTTCCTTACACAATCGTCTGAACATTTCTTTTAATTGTTAACGACAATCCATGTGAAACAATTTGGCACGCCTAGTGGGATATTGGTGTTTGAAGATACGAAAAGTGAAGCATTATGCCTCATAAGAATTCTAATAAAGAATCAGCAAGCCGGAGTAGTCAAGTCTGCGATCGAGCGATATGAGGAGTAGCAAATCTCTCCACGAACAGAGGGACATAGTCAAAGCAGTCAAAGTCGTTATGAACCAATGACGAAGCTGAGTCCTTGAACCATGCGCGCATTTCTTAGAGAGCTCACACATGATGTTGTTGAACAGGTAAATCTACGAAATGTTCATAATATGGAAAGATTTACCCAAAATGGGAATGCACATTATGACAACATGGCCAAACAACTGAATACATTAAATGAAATAATGAACAAGTTAATAGGCCAAA